GTCAAACTGTTCCAGTGGAGAAACTTGGGATGGAGGCTCCTCACTTCTGTCATATGCAAAAAGAACTAGTTCCAGAATCAATCGAGTACATAACTAGACAAAACATTTTGCCTATGCAAAAGCCATCTTTGCAGGCTCTCGGTTTCTCCTTGTTGCCTATTTCAATTATGCAAGACAAAGAATATCAACATTTAAAAAGGTGTAATTTTAAGATACAATCTAGTTTATGCACGGTATGATCAACACATCAGAACAGATGCTACAGGCACATTTGTACAAAAAGCCATAATGATTATTTCCTGAAGTCCTGAATAATTATATTATCACTGGCAAGGAGTTTATTTTTGTTTCCAGTGATGTCAGTAAGAACTCTGCCTGGGTAAGTGTGCATATACATATTTCTAGGTAGATTGCACAGGTACATGTATGTATCACAAGAAGATCCCATATAATCCATGTTTGTTTCATGAAGAAAAAATCCATGTTTGTTATAAGTAGCTTTCAATTGCCTTCTACTTCTTTTATTTCCAAGATTGTTATTGTTCAAACTTGTATATTTTAATTTTTTTTTGTGAGTTCTCCATTCTGAAGCCAGCTAGCACTTCACAAATACAAATCAGCACACCCTAGTGAAATTAAAATTTTCTAAACTCTGAAAATATTACTGTACCAATTACTTACAACTACCTATATATATATATGTTTAAAATAACATACACATCAAAAGCCAAATGTTTCTACTTGCTGCTTTAGCAATTGAAAAGAAAGGGAGAAAACTCAGTCTGGGTATCCAACTCTTTCTAGACCTTTGTAAGGAGCATTATTTCTGAAAGTAGGGTATTTTTATTTATAATAGGTACAGACAATTGGTATAGAGCACACAAATATTTCTCAAAAGGAGCATATGTAATGACAATACTTAAAAGATACCAAGGCTACTTCTTCAACTATGTAAGTATTAAGTCATCAGCTGCATAATGCTTTTTCTGCAGCATAAACACACATTACTTTTTAAGAAGACCACGTTAAAGTCATCCATCTAAAATTCAAAAAACCTTACCACCCACAAAGAAAACAGTCTTCGGCTGGTAAACAGTACATAAACATTATAGTTTCATAGAAATCTTCACCGGAACTCATTAACTAGCTTATCACTTGTGCCATGTGATAACCTAATCACCTAACAAGATTTACAAAAGGGATTTAAGGATCCTCTAGCTGATGTATTGATGATGTGCATTTATTCATACATGAGAGGCTAGGAATTTTTTTGATGCTTTGAAAGCAGAACAAATCTAGCTTTAATGGCTTGTACACTCATGAGAGGTGTACAAAACTTTCAGAATGCATTGAAATACTGTATTTTTTGCAATCTCTAATGAAATAAATACACAGATAAATCCATATATTATATACTATTCAACCCTGTATAAGAAATGATAAAAGTCATCACATGATGTTTCTACTTCATAATATATAGCAAAAAAAGAGACATAGGAAAAAAAAAAGGTGGAAAACTGCTGCTTTGTTTCACTGTCTATGATGTATTAAGAGACATTTTCATACCAGCATAGTTACAACCAAACACACGGAGAGGAACATTTTTTAAGCAGGTGCCTAAGATCAGATGTCTACTCCACATCTGTTTACTTGGCTCCTCCTGATATATAAAAGGTATGGAAGAGTTTTCTATTTTATTTTGCTTATTTACAAGGAAGATCCACTTAACACCTGAAGAACTAGAGAAATCATGAAAAGATTAGCACTCAAGAAGAAAAATCTGAATCACTGAGAGATTTTTAGACAGTTGTTGAAAAATCTTTAATTATTTTACTTTATCTTTAGCATCTATTTAGTTCACACCTGCAGAAAATAATTTGAAGGAAAGCGCTCTATTTTGAAAAAGGCACCATTCTGCTTCTTCATTTAAGAGTGTAAGACTAAAACAGGGTCTCCATACTCAGAATGAATGCAATCTCATAATAAAAGTAGCTTTACTAAATACAAGGGTGGCTTGCATTGTAGAAATCTGTTCCGTGTGAGTAAACTGTTAAAATACGACCCAGAAAAGCATATTACTTTTTTTCCTCTGAAATGGTACTTCAGCAAAACAAGGAATTCAACAGTTGCTGCTCCTCATATTTCTAAGATAAAAAACAAGAAATAAAATGAAAGATCAAAAAACTCAAGCTCACAAGCTTTCATTAAACAACAGAAAAAAGAAAAAAAATAAAATCCAAGGGTTTTTTTTTTTTAATATATCACCTTACAGAAAGACCACAACAGATGCAATTTTTAAAATTATTTCTACCTAACATTTAACAAATAAACTATCTTAATTCTTCGTAATATGTGTAAGACTGGCTAAGTACAATTAACTGTACCAGACAGCTAAACCATGGTTTCATTTGGTACTAGAGATATTAGTTAATTACTTTCAGGCAATAGAATGACTTATGAATATGATTAAAGCAAAGTTAGGCATTAATCTCATAGTGCAATAGAACAGTATTTTAAGTATGATATTGAAAAACCAGGTCATAAAAAAGGGTTACAAGGTTACAAGACTTTAAAGTCAGAATGCTGAAGAGATGAATGAATGTATTACAACATCCATCAAAACAGAAGTATTCTTTGCAAATGGATAAATTAAAATGAAAGGTTTTATGTTATAGACCAGTAGTATTTTCCCTATAATTAGTGACTGAAAATTGTAAGCCTTAAGTTGTCAGTTCAGATCATCTTCCTAGATCTAGAAACAGCTTTATGATGTTAGGCACTTCACTCAGATATACAGTACAATACAGATTTGTCCTAGATGAATATATTTTCTGCTTTAGCTTATAAAATTGCCCTTATAAAATTGTGTCCACAAAATGGTGCAACTGATTAAATTTAATTTAATAAATCTGTCTTGGAGCCATATATCTTTTTGGGTGAAAAACCCCAAACCTATAGAAATCTTCTCTCAAGATTTTTTAAAAGTGATAACAATTTGGTAGTCATACTCAAAAAGCACGCTATGATATAAAGTTTCTGCCAATTTTAAGTCACAATGTAACTCTGATTTGTAAACAAAAATAAATTAAACAGCACCATTTTTATTTTATTACAGGGGTAGATGGTGAAGCTTAATGCAACAAATTTTGTAAAGGTGTTTTTAGGTCTTCCTGTGGATGACATTACTGTAAATAATAGTAATATCTGGTTCTTATATAATGTCTTTTAGTAGTAGCTTTCAAATGACTCAAATAGGGTTAGTTTATAGAAATGCAAAATAATACTGGGAATTATTATTCATTTAACTCCCTCATAGTTATGATACAAAAAATGAAAATAAAAAAATTTTCTTTTTCTTCCTTCTCCTATTTCAATTTCCTGTATGAATAAAACTGCCTTTAATGGAAACTCCTTGTAACATGCTACAACCATGTAGTATACTATTCATTGCAGTTTTTGCTCTAATAAAAGCACCCATATAACGGTGAATAGTCCTTCTAAAAACAGTGAACAACAACAGAAGAAAAATCATTATAACAACTTGATGACTGTCATAGAAACTGAGGAGGAACAACCACCTTGTCTACTACTGCTTTGAGATTCTACCCTAATACTTACAGAAGTGGTTAGACATTTCTAAATACACTCTT